CTTGCAATACAAAATAAAAAGTTTCGATACAACACCACAGATTAAACAACACTATCTCACGACCTTGATAAAATATAATAATAGACACGTTTTTGATAGTATACACTTAAATAATAATACATAACACCTATGTACAGTGTACTTGAAATAAAACATACCATATTCTTATATACACACTCGAGATAAGTGGGTGTCACATGAATTTATGGACAAACACATCAAGCTATGCAAAACCAGTATACAGTGATCGTCGAATATGCGAAACGATCTTACAAAGCGAGGTCAAGACAAACTGGCTTAATATAGCCGTATGTACCAAGTATAGATATACGTACTTAGCCTTTATATAATACTTAGGTACTGTTTACAAACATTTACTGAAAGATAACAATTCACTATGACTTGAGATGACGATGAATTTTTGCAAATGCAGTATTTTTATCATGAATGATTACTACTATCATTCTATGATATATTTTTTTAATACAGGCTTGTGACGTCACAATTTGTTTAGTCACAGTCATTCATTATTCTTGTCAATAAATAGATCATCTTAATTTGTATTATTTTCTTTTTTCTGTGATTGGGTTTTCTGTGATTCAGTTCATAAATAATGATAACAATTTGGAATTTTATAAATATTTTAAAAGCTTGTTTAGGTCGCAAACAACAAATAGTCTCCAGAAATTTAGATTTTATGTTTCTCCTTTCATATTTCGTCACAGATTTCCTTAAATACATAGTTCAAGCGACCGGTTTGTATCTTGTTCATTAAATACACTTCGTCCACAAATTACAGTGATTACGATTACGTTATCATTTTCAATGGGTATCATTAACTGTTGAGCGGATTAGTTTCCTCATGCTACTTGCCTACAAACTGTACTCTAAACTGGACCACTTAGGTATGTTTCTACATGGAGATATTTCAAAAATATGTTACTCGTCCAGTAAAAAATACAGGGAATTTTTATGTTACTAATTTTAACTTAAAATAGTTACATAACATCACGCCTTTTATCCCCGAAGGGGTAGGCTGAGGTGCACATTATGCCACTGTACAATGTAACACCCACTTTTCACTATTTATGTTATGAGTCCCATGTAATAGGGGGTGAGCCTATTGCCATATACCGAGCACAATTCCAGGCTCCGTGCTATTACTGAGAATTTTTAAAAACCCGGTAATACTTTGCCCTACCCGGGAATCGAACCCGAGACCCCTTGCCCGGCAGTCACACATGCAACCACTCGGCCAACGAGGCAGTTGTTTACTTACTTACAGTAACTTAAAATAGGTTTAAAATTATTACAGTGAAATCAACCTAAATCTATCATGTGTCAAATATTCAGGTCAATGATAACGTTCGTGCTCTGAAAAAAAATAAAACAATATTACTTATCTGTGACATGACATGTCACTGAGCTTTACGCGGGAAATTAGGTAGGCTACCATAATCTGCCCGCATATTTTTTTTCTACAAAAGATAATATTTAAATAAAGCATTATAAATGGTGGTAAATGTCTAAAATCTACGTTGATAAAAATTCAGTAAGCCGCACTTTATCGCCCACTTAAATATTGCCAACCATTTACTTTCCAGTTTTTTTTTATTTACTTTATCATATTAAGCCAAATAGGCGGACTTTAAATAGGCGTAAAACGTTTAAAAGCTTTTTACTATATTTTACCAGCAGGCTGATGCTTATATTTTTTGTCATAATTCCAAGAAAAAAATAATTGTGAAATACTCCAAGCAAATAATCATATTTCTTGTGTCATCTTAAAAGTGATTTAAGATTGTAAGCATTATTTTTCTAAGTAACTACAAAGATAACTAAAACGTAGAATGTACCGTAAGCTCTAATATAATTTATGGTCATGGCATTGTTGGATTATAATGGTATGGCTATCTTAATCCATAAATCCATACTATAAGGTCCACTTAGTTTGAATAATGGCAACACTATTGCTTAAATTGCAACATCGTCTACATTCTACGATAAAAAATTCTAAATCGAGGTAGTGTTTTGAATTTAAAATGTGGGCTACTTTTATATGTAGGTACCTGTTTTAAAACGTAGACTACCTCGATGGCCGAGTGGTCGCAAGTGCGACTGCCGGGTTCGGGTACCATTCTCAGGTCAGGCAAAGAATTACTGGGTTTAAAAAAAAATCTCAGCAGTAGCACGGACTCTGTAATTGTTGTACATATAAATAGCAATAGGCTGACCCCCCACTACACGGGACTCATAACATAATAGTGAAAAGTGGGTGTTACATTGTAGAGGTACAGTGACATTAAGCGTAATCTGCGCCTCTGCCTTTCCCTTCGGGGGTAAAAGGCGTGATGACTTTCTTAATAATTTGCTTTATGACTACACAAACAACATTATGGCTTGATTAAAATAAATTTATACATACATATTTAGATTGATCTCCACCCACAGTAGTCATTGAATATTCATTAAAAAGTAGCGTCACCCCCGCAAGAAATCTATCAGTCTATAAATAGACTTGTATTGCAAACAATAGCCCATTTCATTGCAATGAGAAAGCAAGTAAAATCGTCTCGTCTAGACGCATCTTTGTAATTAGATTTCAACAAGAAATAATTTCTCAGTAATTCTCAACACACTTGTACTGTTACTCTGTGGTTCTTTTTTCGCGCGTTAGGCGAGAACTAGTGATGGGAATATGTTACTAAATTATTGGCATAGATTTTAGTATTTTTTTTATTACTCAATATTTTTTGTATGTGCTATATTTATTATATTTTTATGTATTGCTCTTAGGTACGTAAATAATATAATATTGTAATAATTTAAAATAATTTAATTTTTTATTCGAGCTTAACTGATAATATTTTGTACTTTAATATTTGTACAAATGAAATAAATCACATTCATCGCTTTCCATTCTCTTCGGCTCGTTGTTATCGCAATAACCTTCATTTTATTACTTTGAATTTTATGGTTGTTAGGCTAGGTTAGGTTCTATATTCATCTCGTATACCTACAAGTACATATTTTGATAAGAAACATATATACCAGACAGTTTTATGGTAACGATATTTTCTCACCAAATGCTATAGGCATAAGTATCATGTATCCTAGATAAGGGAAAATAAATATCAAAGACAGTGTGATGTCTAACCCTCAATTCTTATTCTGTCCACGATACGACCTTCACCCTTTTATGAGAAGAAATCTGAGCTGACCCCAATAGATAACAGGAGTGTAAAGTGCTGGAACTTGACGGAGAGGCTTTTATCGATTAGATAAGTATTTGGTTCTGACAAGGATAACTCTAAATTGAAGAAGGTTTGATCAAACTAATATTTGTATGGCACAAACAAGAGGAGAATACAGGCAGACAGGGACATTGCGTTATTTTTTATCTATACTAATCTATACTAATATTATAAAGCTGAAGAGTTAGTTTTTTTGTTTGTTTGTTGAACGCGCTAATCTCCGAAACTACTGATTCGAATGAAATAATTCTTTTTGTGTTGGATAGTCCATTTATTGAGGAAGGCTATAGGCTATAAAACATCTCGCTACGACCGATAGGAGCCGAGCAGATCGGGTAAAACTGCACGCAAGTAGCTAGTAGAGACTAAACTTAGAGATTATAAACTCACTCTCAAATATAAATACCAAAGAAGAGCAAAATCTTCCAAACTAAGGCGAAGTAGTAATGTAATTATACCATTGTCACGAAACTAAAAAAAAAAACTTCTATTTAATACTTAAAACAATAATGTTTCGATGGCGCATTGTTTAATCAACGTTAACTGGACTGCACCTGTGATCACAATACACTTCAAAATAGAACACTTGCAAATTTTTTAGTCTTCACGCGAGCAAAAATGGAGAACACGTGACAAAGATTACTGCTAATATATACATTAAGCCTTATCTTGATATATAATAAATTTAGAAAAACTGTATCTTGACAAAAAGCGAGCTTACCTATTTTATGCACGTAATTGATCCAATTGTAATTTATTTAAAAATATTCTTACCTAGTTTATAGTTTAAATTTAATTGATTACATCGCATTCTCTTCACTACTTACGTATTTTTTATACAGCTTGTGCACTTAGCAACGCGCCAGATGAATTTTTTTTCTCATTACATTGTTCTCTAATGCGCACACGCAAGCATCAATAGATTATAGTATAGTGTGTATTTTAATAAAATGGTAAGAAACAAATGATGTTATTATAAATAAGGTTTTTGTTCTTTTTTCTGTGTGCTTAAGTGCTAAACTACTGAATAAGACTCATAATAATTAGTTTTAATCTTTTTATATTACGATCACAACAACAAGTTAAAGTAGAAATAAAATTACTAATACGGAATATCTAAGATATTCTTTTAATCAGTATTCGACAAATCCGCATAATAATCGACTAAATTGAAACTGAAAATACTGCTGCAACCACGCTGCAATCGATTATTTTTATCGATTTCGAATGCTGCAAGTGCACTTAGCAACACCCATAGCAAATGTTTTGTACATTAGGTGCGCTAGTTTTTATTCTACCATTGTTCTGCACTGCACGCATGCTTGCAGTTTGCATTACAACTTGAAAGTAAATGTTTTAAATTGAATAAGTACATTAAAGACAGCGAAAAGTAATACCATACAATGTCCCAACTTTTCTTCAATTTTGTTAACTACTTAATTTAATAGTCTTCCGTATCCTGGTCCGTATAAATGAAAAAAGTTTTTTAATCAATTGTCAAACATGAAAATAACGTTAAAAATCTGCGTTACTTATCTTCGGGCTTGGGGAAAACTGGCGTGCGATTTTAGAACGTATACTTAATTATCACGATAGGCTTGTAAACACTATCCCGGTTCCGGTCAATAAGTCATAAAAGACCATTTAATTTTAATTATATCTCTTAGACAGTAGATGATAGTAGATAGTATCCCTTAGATAATCACATGATGCTTCTCATTCTAACAGTATCTCTTTTGTCCACAGTTGGTACAACCACGACCCACTTGACTGTAGTCAGGGTCAACAGTGACCCTACGCCAGTCAAAGACCATCAGGTTCCAGTATTCCTCTACAGCAGGCATTCGTTCGTTGCTGATCAATGGGACCTAACTACAAATCAGGTAAGATTAGCTTTAAATCATTTTAAACCGATAATCTGATCTCTGAAGGAGGCGACGGAGTTTTGATTAGATAGAACTAAAATGAAACTACACAGATTACTTGACTCGAATCGGATATTAATCGACTAAATATCATTTATTAGTATACGTCAACCCTAACAGTTGTGTCAACTTATACGATGAGACGTATTACACACATAATGAGGGAAAGCCAAATAGTTACCAAGCTACCCTTAATAAAGGAAAACTACGATATTGTCAACCTGTGGTTCATTAGAGACTGTCATAACATATTTTTTTACCTTGACATAATAAAATTAAATAGTATTTTTCTTTGAACGGGCAAAACTTTATTTTCTGCTTGTTGAAAATATGAGCAAGTAAAGGTAAATTAAAATATTTTACTTTACCTTGCTTACTTACTTTATAGTACAATAGCAAACAGCAAACGAATACCATGTAGGAGTTAGTTATTTATATATGCGATACGTGGGAGATAATTATTTTTACCAACATTCAATCAATGAACTGAATAATTTGCGGCTTAATAAAGGTTAGTATGACGGCATACATTTATTTTATAGGCTAGTAATTGATGTAGGTTAGTTTAGTAATGTAAATACCAACTACGCAGGCCAATACAACACACAATTGAACACTTATTCAATTGATGGTAATTAAATACGCAACTAGGTAGGTACATTATTTGACAAATAACTACAATTTAAAACGTATTATTCATTTGTATACGAGTCAATGAAAATATTCCGTAACAGAACAAAATGAAATTGTTTTTGTGAAACAAATCTTATAATATCGGATTACTAATCTTATTTGTAAGTACTTAGTTGCTGCTTCTTTTATTTTACGGAATCTGTAGATACTTACGTAAACCAACTGAATGAGTTTTTAGGACAATCTGCTTCATTGCTTGCAGCATTCATTTCATTTTGCTTTATCTTGTAAAATACTAAGGAAAATCATTACTAAATTCGATTCAGTTTACTGGAATCATACTTAATTTTAACTAACTAAATAATTTACGTATTATATTTAGAAACATTGAGTACTAAATACTTTTGCGCAAGTTTTAGTCGATTATGGAGAACGAGTTATTTTTGGTCAGCGCCTGCAAGGTAACTGGAACTGTCAACATTTGCATACCATTGAAATTCTTTGGTGTGGTAGACTAGACAACTTCGACGTTTTTGACGTTCTTTATGGGCTATACATGATGAATGTATTACGAGTCTGTTTAGGTTCACACTACTAATAATATGTGTACTTAATTTGACTTTTAAATTCGGATAAAATCGACTAAAAATACGCAAATTCATATCCCAACACCAAAATACGTTTGAAAATTCAAATTTTAGAATACACTGTGTTGCAATAACAATTCCGTATTTGAAATAATAATAAACGAGTTTTTAGTATGTAAATAGAAGCGTTCATTAAAAAAACATGAACGCTAAACATTTCTAAATTCTAATTTCTAATATTTACTTTTTTCGTCAGTTATTAATCATTTTTAATACATTCAATATTTGATTCGATGCAATATTTAATGGAATCAGACAAGCATAACTCGTACATTAGTACCAGTTACTCATTAATTATTGATATTTCCATAATGCAATTAGCTAGACGTATGGCGGGTGCAACGACCTCGCTCACTATTGGCACAAGTGCTAGTCAGAGTGACATAAGACATTATAACATTACATTGCATTGTTCCACGATACTAAAATTAAACGTAACTACAACGTTGGGAATAAATAACGCGAGATATATTAATTTTAATTATCATAATGTGAACAAAACAAATGGTAGACATCTGTTTTCGTTAAAAACATTCTGCGATTGTGTTGAAATAAAAACGGATATTTCGTTCTGTAGATAACATTGTTTTAAATTAGAGTAAACGCAACTGCTGAGGATCAGGTTCTGAGGTTAAATAAAAAAATATGACAGCTTATGGTGGTAGCAATGAGTACTGTGGACTTCAAGTTATTGTTTAAGATATATATAAAATGCTACATATTTTTACTGGCTGTGTAATTGACATATGAAATCTTCGCTGCTGGAGAGCAATTCCATTCTTCATCTTACTACATACTAGGTGTATTATTCAATAAATAAAAGGAATTATTGCTCAGTGCCGTTATTTTGAATATATGAGTCACGACTTGCATTTTTTCTTGTAGTTCATATTGTATCTTCTCAGAAATCTGAAACAGCAAGCCACCGAGACTATAAATTGTACACGAGCATATTATGTTTTTTTTTCAATAGCTCGTGACAAGCTGCAGCCGGTTTGAATTTCTTTTTTGGCACTGGCAACATTTTGCAATTACAGATTCCGTTATAATGGCATTTAAATCGATTCAAAACTTTAAATTATCGAATGAGTCTTTTTAACTGTCCGCTTGTCTTAATTTACGATACGACGAAAAAGGAAACAAATTTTACCATTTCAAACACCGAATAAACAAATTCGTCAAAAACTAATCTCTATTATAAAATAAAAAGAATATTTTTAATTATTTTTTTCATTTCGAAGACAAGTCATTTCGTCAATGTTTATGTACCTGTTGATGGTTTAGTCATTGAATATACAGACGTGTACGTAATTGAAACACAAACTTTCACTTCACATAACAGTATAGGACAGGTACCTACAAAACATAATAATTATGTATATTAATTAATCTGTATGTTAATGTTGGTTCGGGTTATACAAGTAGAACGCACAATATGTCGGGTTCAATAACCATTCGATGTGATAATGTGACAACCGACAGGAAATATTTGCTGCATATGTTTCATTATTATAAAGGACTATGAAGTAATTTATTCAAGCAATAATTAAACATTTCAATATTTATGAAGAGGAGGAAGAGGAGAGTAGAAAAGATGTGTGATGAAGTCACGTAAATTGTTAATTAATTTGTTTTTAAAGAAATTAGCGTTGTTTTCATGTAAGCCAATAATGTTTTAGGTAGTCTTTACCTAGATACATAATATGTAAAACATAATTTTATTCACTTCATTCTAACTCTGAAGAAGCAGAATGTCTGAAACTGTCTAAAAAATCGGAACAAAAAATTCAGCTGCATTCTGTAGTCTGCAGATCACACTGCTGTAGCTAGACCAATGAAACAGAATAATCTAATTTTATAACAGGGATAATGTCATAAACTCTTCGTAGGTATATGTAGCGTGAAGATAAAGAGTGCGTTGACCCCGGCTGATATTGTATACAGAAATATTTTCGGCGTTTCGGACGCGTGCTGACTGCCTAGGGTTGCCAAAGTTGCTGTCTAGGTATAAGAGATGTGTTCGTATAGCTAACACGTGTACGTGACGATGTAGGATCGTAAATAGAAAGGGATTTTGATGTCTGAGAATAGAAACAAATAAAATGATATAATTTGCCATTAATTTAATGCAATTATGTCATTAGTATTGTGAAATTTCGTACTCTTTTTAGTTTAGTTTTGACACTAGCGCCCATTGCATCCGTATTGCGTGGATATTTAATGAACAAAATGGTATTGAGTTTGGTTTTATGTTATTTCGTACTCTGAATGCGATTTTAACAGCTACGGTTGTATAGTGTTGACATTGAATAATTATTGAGATTTTATGGGTTTGAAATTGCATTGACAATAAGACATAATTTTAAAACCTATAAGTTTTCACTATCTTTATGGCACAATTATTGTATTTTGCTACAAAAAAAGAAACAATAAGAGAAAGAACCCCAGCGCCATTACTAGCGACAACCCTAGCAACACATTAGGAAAATAAAAAAGGAGTTGTCAATCTGTGGGTTTTATTTTGAGAAAAAGTTTCGAAATATACAAAGTTAACTGGTTTTAACCGAATCCGTAGAGAAACTGTTAATTTACAACGCTTTTTATGCTAATATACAAACATACATAATGCTGATATATGGTCAATTAGGTAAAATAACAAAAAGACGAGTTGTTATTCCAACGATGTGTTTTATACTGGTGTAATGTTGCCAGCCTACTAAATGAGAAAAATTGGCTGAATAACAATCGTGTGGTCGGTTTTATTTTAATTATTGCAGAATTTATTCATAATTATGCTACATACTGATACGATTGTAGGTATCTATGAAGTAGTTGGACAGGTTTTATAATAGCATACTACATTAAAACTGACATGTTTATTGTTTGCCAGTTATTGTTCGGGGTTTAACTCACTCTCAAGCTTCCACAAAAATCATAACAGAAACATTATACATCGCGACAACGTTGATACCTAGATTTTTTACTAGCAGCACTTTCAACTTTAAATGCAGATTGAGACTAAATTAATCTTAGCTCTATGTCTTCGAAAAATTTTAAATACTACAAAGTCTAACGAGGCGATCATAATCTAAAATAACCATCATTAATCATTTTTAAATATTAACTTTGTCAAGGAAACTGTCGTGTCGTGCTCAACACTATTATCATATACTTAATTGTTTATATTTCTAATATTAAATGAAGTGGGCAATCATAAACTGAGTTACCATTAGTAGCTCGAGGCCATATCTTGTCAAATTAATGGCCCAGTACCCATATCGAGGTCAATAGGCGCCGGCGCATAATACACAACTAATTTTAGTATTCTCGACTACGAAGTGGTTCTTCTCGTTATGGTAATACGACTGTCAATGTATCGAATGGTATCGATGCTAACCAAGAATCGACTAAACTAGGTTTTTCACTTCACTATTGCTATTTAATTCGTGATAAAGTAAATGCTGATTAGAAACATTTTTGACTCTTAAAAAGTAAGCTGTCGTCAAATTCGAGAATGGAAATGCGCTACCCTAACTATCCAACTTAGAATATTTAGTGTGTTATAATAATTATGATCTGTTGTTTGTCTCCAAATAAAAATACATATTTTAAGTCGACATCGCGTGACATCATAAAATTAATACGTTAATACACATTTTATACAATCTCATTTTTAAA